CAAAGAGGTTTGGCTTTGCCTACTTTTTAAAATGTTTCTAAAATGACTTAGGCAAATGTCATTACTCCGAGCAGCAATACGGCCAGTGTGAACCTTTTCGGGATGTTTCTTTTCAATAAAATCAATCACTTTCTGATAATACCTCAAGATTTCCTTTATCGAGCGAGATCCTTCCACGACGAAGCAAACACGCGGACTGAGACCAATGAACAGAAGTGAATAAAAAATGGCGCTGCGAACTAATGTAACGTCGTATGGTGAGTTTTTGTTCGTATCGTGGAGCAAAAATATGTTCAAATTTCGTGTCGTATCCTGAAAATTTTGTATGCTGGGGCGTTCGTATCCTGAGGTACCACTGTATAGGAATGGCACACAGTTGGAGTGGAGGAACAATTCGAAGCGAAGTGCAGGAAGAGATCGGGAGCGACATATAGGAACAGCTTAGAAGCGAATTGTAGGAAAAATCAGGAGCGAAGTGTAGGAAGAGATCAGGAACGAAACATAGGAACAGTTCAGAAGCGAAATAAAGTAAAAGCAAAAATGTAAGAACAGTTCATTAGTGAAATGCAGGAAGAGTGACATCTGTCCAAGATCTTTAGCGTGTAGCATCGTCCCTCGTAAGATTTACTCAATTAAACTTAATCCAACGAGCAGCTGTCATATCGGTTGGAGACGTAAAGAATAGAAATGGAGAAAGAGGCGTCGAAACTGTCAATCAAACGTCTTTTGTCCCTACCAAAGTAGTGCAGTAACCATTAATTTCCCACCTTTAACATCTGCCCTGTTGTAGAGATTTTACAGCATCCCCCTTTGATTTCTTTTTCTATATATGTCCACGTGGCGCGTAAAAATCCGTTCGGGAAATGATAATTTACACTTTTAATCTCGGAAAATTACGGACCGACAACCGTCCCTACTCACCTCCATTTCGCACTCGACTTTTAATTCCTGTTGTGTCCTGTACAGTAGGAGCTGGTTCTCGTTTAATGATCTCAGATACTGATTCCTCTCGATTTTTTCGATCAGTAAAGCGTGTTCTTCCTGTAAATAAAGAACGGAAAGATCTATGAATTTAGTCCGAAAAGTGGTTTTCAAATTGGTTAACGGTTTTCTGCATGTGTTGGCGTGTTTTGCACAATTTTCAACACGTGTTACATGCTCTACATGTGTTTTTCTTCCGAAAACGAGTAGAATTTTTAGTGTTTTATTCCTTAATTTGCAGGAATATCGTGTCGAATATTCGAAAAACTGTCTGAGGAGGACAAAATACGTAACTTCTGCCCCAATTTAGTACATTAGAATCGGATAAAAAGACACTACTGCAGGCAAATTAACCTTTACTTACACCTTTACACTTGTTTACAAGAGCAACTACAGTATTCTGTTTAATTACTTCTACGTAGAGGCACCACTTAACACAGGCTTATTCGTGATAGTAATGTATTAAGAGTTGTGTAGGTGGAGGTCTAATAATGTATAAAAGGCATACTCTAAAGGTCTCTTCAACTATAAAATAGGAGGAATATTGTGTGGTGTCTTATCTGTTAAATTAATAGACGAACCTGTTATATAAGTCCATATAAAAGAGGAATATCAAATGCATAACCGGATATAAGGTGACTGAAGGAAACATTTTTCTCTTCTATAGGAATCACATATCCTTGCTGCAGTTTATAAAGGGAGAAATTAAGCTTTGTTTTTTAAGCAAAAAAGGCCCTTCTTGGAATTTTGTGACCCTAAATAGCCCTATATACGATTTCCTTAAAAAAATAAAGGCCCTGTATGGAAGCGAAGAGCCTATCAAATTAAAGAAAAATCGACAGCCACGTGCCTTCAGCCTGGTTACGCATAACGAGGGGCCTTAAAAACTGTAAAATGCTCTTTATCTTAAGGGTTAACACTAAAAGCGTGTTGTTAGTAAAACGTTATATCGGAGTAACCCTCATATTAGAGCACGGAAGGAAGCTTAGAACGGCCAGCATTTTTAATTGTCTAAGCCTCAATTACTCACCTGAGCTCTTTCTTCATCGTACTCCAAACAGGCCATCCCGTCCAGGCGATCCAAATTGAGCCATCCCCTCCATCTGACACAGACCCCGTCCATGATGAATCTGGAACGGATGTGCACCTAAAAACAAAACAAAGCATCCTTTACACCACACGTGATCTTTGTCACACGAAGGTAAGCTGGATGTCACGTGAGGATCTTGAGGGTCTTGAGAAATGCCCGCTAAACAATGTGAATCGAGAGGAAATTGTCATTTTGTCGCGTCGAGGACATTAGCGAGTTTTTTTAGACTATTAAGCGCGGGCAAATCGTTATTTTCCGGTCGTTAATGCGTCTAGAGTGCGCGTGCCGGCATTACACCCCAAATAAAAACGCTTTCGGGGCGAGAAATCGTAAATGGTAAACGGATATCGGCACTGTTGACTCACTTTACCTCTATAAATTTTTAACTTACGAAATTTTGAGGGGGGAGCTTACGTGAATAATGAAATCCTCCGTTCATCGAGGGATTCTGGAAGGCCCCTCCGAAATTACACAATTGCGCGTTTACCAGATGTAAGAAAGACCTAATTCGTGTACCGGAATCTGTCTTGTTCTAGCGTAAATTCGACGTAATTCCCGCTTATAACGTCGCTAAACTTTGATATAAGACAACCTAATTTAATCACTTTCTAACAGCCTGGACAATGTTTTATTACACTCCATTTGTATGCAGCCTATACCAAATGTAAACAAGATTGCTGCACTTATGTACACTCGTTTACCAGAATTTCTCGTGTTCTAGCGTAGATTGACGTTATCCCCGCTTATAACGTCGCTAAACTCCGATATAAGATTATACAACCTTTAATCACGCTCTAACAGCCTGGATAATGCCGTTTTATTGATACTACACTCCATTTACAGATATGTCCGTCAACCCTGTCCACTAAGCAGTCCATCCTTATCTTCTTATCGCGTCATCGCAGTTACCCCCATTTGTTTTTTCTTATATCGGTTAAACATCGTCGACGACACCAAGATTTAATTGTAGATACACACCTTAATTTGAATGGTTTAAATCGTGTTTAACACCTTACGTAACGAGCATAAAGGATGTTTGTATGTGTTTCTGTGTGTGTTTATGTGAAAGGACGAAGTGGGACTTTCTCAAAACAATCTGCGAATCTTGTTTATGGGGCTGTAAATTAAATAACTTTTGTTTTGAGTGGAAGTATTGACACGTGAAGAAGGTTTCAGAGAGTTTAAGGGCAAAATATTACCTTCCCTGGTGGACGAATCGTTAATTTTAGTGTTTAAACACTTGGAAGGGGGTCAAAACATCAAATTGTAAGCGATTTACTGTAAAAATTCACATGCTTTTTCAACGAATTTACGCGCGCATTATACACGATCGTCAGCGAATTTTACAGTTATGCTTACCCCTATTGTTAACAGAATAAAAGCGAAAGCACGAGGGGGGGTGAGAGAAGAAGATCGAGTTACTCGGTATACGTCACGACACCTCGTGACGCGACTGCTCTTAGTTCGAAGCCATTGAAACGAGGCGACGAAGTGTTGATTTAACGACGCAAATTACCTTAACCTCATCGTCGACCCTCCCTCCCTTTCCACCGCTCCGACAGCACCTCATTCACCAATCTTCCGTTACCGATTGATAACAAAAGACAAGAGACGAAGCGCGTGAAAGAGCGTCACGTTACTTGGCGTGACACACGACCCCTACCAAGTAAACATTATCTCCCTCGCAACCTGCAATTTGACACTTGTTCTGTGCCATTTGTGTGTGTGTCTCGTCGTCTCTCTCTTCGACTTTTTAATAATCTCCCACTCCATTTTTTTTCTTTTTTAAGTGCGGCTTCGTCCGACAGGTGGCCAACGAACCAGCGACGACGTCACACGGTTTGAATTTCAAATTTGTAACACGTGTTCTCAACAATAAGCGCGTGCATTTTCGTACGAATTCTGTTACTTCTCGTGCTGTTTTTTTTTTTATCGCTAGAGAATTAAGGTTATTGGCAGCAATTAAGGGTAGGGTGGAGAACAGAGCTCGTTTTTTTCGAAACTAGAATCGTGACGACCTCTGACCCCCACAGAAGCTTTCTTCCGGTGTATAAAGGGCAGAAACCTCGAAGAGAAGCCGAAAATTGACGACAGAGCGTTGAAAGTTGGGGAGATATCCTAACGCAAACCCTACAGGAATATATAAGCAGGCACTGGTGTAGAATTTAAATAAATTCGGGTGTGATTTCGGAATTTCTCGCGAGTCTCGTGTTAAGAAAAGTGAGCCCTGGTCTAACATAGGTCCGAATTTCAGGCTTAATTTACAAGAAACGTGGAAAAAGTGATCGAGTCGGTTCGGTCTGTTTACCAGATCCTGTTTGTTCCATCGAAAAGTCGTTTAGTTCAACGTTTTTTTCAACGTTTGTCATTAATAGAGTGGCTTGTCTCATTTTTTATCCATGGTTAACCTTGCGACTCGCCAAGTTATTATATTAACTGGCTACAAGATAAGGGGATATTTAACCCAAGACTAGTTATTATAACATTCTATCTGATAAAATTAACTCTTTAACACTAGCAGCATCCTTAAGTGATGCAGTGTTTTTATTTTTAATGATGCTTCGCTCTGTAAAATGTCTTCCAATTGTTGGAGAGGAAATTCGACTTAATTGCGTTTTCCTCGAAGATTTTACCCCGTAAAAAGTGCGTAAATTGAAGCGAAAATGCAGTATTTCTTAAATTTAGCCCATTAATTTTTATTATGGATACGTCTAGGTGGTGTATTTTGCTTAATAATGGACACGTCTGTGCTTAACTTAGAGGCCCATTATTGTGCTATATAGATGTATTTTTATAATTTTGCAACCCAAAATAAAGTCCCAATACCCTAATTTCTCAATAATTGCTGTTATTTCTTAAACTTAGCCCATTAAATTTTATTATAGGTACTTCTAAGGGGTGTATTTTGCTTAATAATACAGAGAGATGCTCCCGTCCTATCCTACTTCTATCCCTCGTCTTGCTTCTATATTAACTTAGGCCCGTTGTGTTATGAAGATTTATTTTTATAATTTTATAGCCAAAAATAAGGTCCCAATGCCCTAATTCCTCTTTAATTGCCACCAGGAAAGAAGTGGTTAATTACCTTTCTATAATAATTAAGGTTAAGTTCATCAAAATCAAGCCTCCCGTAAAGAGTAGTGTCGATTGTAAATTCTCATTAGAAGCTTATGGTTCTCTTCATTAAAATTATTTAGGACTTTTATGTTAAGTATAGATATAAACGCTTAAAATATGTAAATAAGAGTCTTTCTATGTCATAATTTCGCTCTATAATGGCCCCTATTGGTGTAAAAACGCGTTTATTTTGTAAATATGAGGAGGAAGAGCAATTCTGGAATGGCTCGTATTTTACTTTACTCTTTACCTTAGTAAAAGTAGGATGAAACTACGAAACTCAAAATTATTACATAATTATCATCGAAATACACTAGCAAAATGTCTTCACCCTTTTTCTCAGAAATTTCAAAAGAGGGGAGGTTATCGAAAGGCGGATTCCGAGACGTTAAGAATTTTTGGTGGTGATGGATCCGTAGGCGATTTAGGGCGACACCAGCATCTTTGGTAATATTTACACAATGTTCTCGACCCTCCCTTAGACTCGAATTTCATATTCTGTCAGCACTTCTTGAATCTTAAATCGAGTGGAACCAAGTAGAATGGTAGTCCAGGATAGTTTCGGAGGGGTGAAGCTCCCATCTACTAAATGTTATTGTTTTAATCTTAAGTAGACAATACAAACTATTGTTTAACGTCTGTACAGTAAAGGAATCTCTCTATCTGTAAACTTTGACTTTAGACTTTATACAGATAAATAATAAAAGTCTTATCTAAACTTTTCGAGTGTCATGTGCCGTGCCCGTAATTAAAGTAATAACTACCATAAAATAATTCTGGGATGGTCCTATTTACAACCGCCAAATTTTCATTGTTGTGATCTTCACTGAGTTTCAGAGACGACAAATAGGCCTGGTTGTTTTTCTGGTGTTTTCGGCGCTTTTTTTCGGTATATTAGAGGGTGGCACTTTCCGAAATGGCTAATTTGACCTTTGACCTAATTGCTTAGTTGCATTTTAGACGGATAAACACAAAACTAGAAGACGAATTAAGTCTGGAGGTAAATAAAATTTGGCGACAGAAGCGGAGACAAAGTCAATTTTGGTGTGAAAGTTTTGCAAAAATGAAGAGAAATAAGCATTTAAAATGGTGCGAATTCGTTAAATAGGGGGATAAATTATTAAATTTTTAAGAAATGGTCTGCGAGAAGCGCGCGGAAGAAGTAGAAAACGGTTGTTAGAAGCGAAGTATAAGAGGGCGATTGACATATTGGCAAACTGTTTTAGAGTAAAAGATAACACTCCAAATTGATGGTAAAAACGTTGTCGGCATTTTACAACTCTCCCTCCTCTTTCTAAACAACTATTCTAGTCCACGATCCACCCTTCACGCGGTTTAACAAGGGGGATAGTTTAATGCCTCAGGCTCCGAAAATTCACCAAGAAAATACCCAACGTAGCCTACATCTTAGTCACTTAATTACACGATAATTTATAAAGAATTTATGAAACGAAAACGTTAATTTAAATTTTTGGGTGTTAAAAAAATGTTTTCTAGGTATAAAAACACAGTAATTACGACGTTACCTTTCCATTTTCGATGTCAAAGTCGCATCCGTCGCTGTATCCATTAGAACAGGGTCTGAACTTCAAAGGTATGTTCGTACCTGTGCCTATAAACGACTGTAAAACGTTTACAATTAGAGAAAAAAGTTGACTAAATCAGTGCCGAATATGGTCGGCCCAAAAGTCGGTTGACCGTGTTTAGCCACGATGTGTTTAGTTTATACAGCGGTTAAACGACTTTGGGGCCAACCCTGTAATGATTTTAAACCTACCACTTCGATGCTCCCTTCGCGGCATTCGTTTTGGAACAGGGTTTTCCTCTCCTCGGCCACTTTGTCCCGATATCCTATGTATCTGACCTGGGCCAAAAATAAACACATCAGGAGCGAAGTAATGGACCAAATTTTTGGGCCTTTTTAGCTACAAGACACAACGTTTTTGAACCAATAATTTAACGGATAATGCGTAAGATATTTATGTCTAGGGTGAGAATTGGATAAAATCTATTATTTTGAATGAAAGTTTGTCTATCTGCCTGCAGTTTAGGCCATTGAAAATATCAATTTGGGCACATCCCAAACTTGGCTAGGGAACGGCTACATTTAACTATATTCAAATTCCTGTGTTTTTGTGTAATCCTTCAGCGATATTTCATTAAAAATTCGGTTTCTAGAATCCAAATAAAAGTAAAATTTAGCTTTAAAAATATAGAAACAGCTAGGATGGGGTACAAAATTAGGGTATAAAGTAGAAATTACGCAAATGAACAATTATACGTGACTTTAGTGATAAAAATTCAATTGAAACTACTGGATGGCCCAGAAATCAGTTAACTATTGTAAACACTAAATTTTTATCTTATTTTGTAACCATTTGTAACGTTCTAAACTCATATTCGCATATTTGAAATACACGTACAAAAATACGGTTATCTGACTTTTGATCCATCCTGTATGTTACAAACTCGATTTAATTGTAGAGCGCACTTAAATTATAGAATTTTATGCCCAGAATTGTGAACAGACTTACTTCCACCTTAAATTATAGAATTAAGCTCTTTTAACCAGAAAAACTGCCAAATTATTGGCTTACAGACACTACTTTACGGTAAAAACGCCAATCATTTGGCTTCCCACACCTAAAAATTGCGATAGTTTTGGAAGTTTTACTCACCTCGCTCTCGTGACTTAATTTGCGAAAAAGTTCGTTAGTTTCGAATTTCTCCTTTTGATTAGGAACCACTCGAAAGGCGTAAATTGGCTTCCTCTTAAAAATATTAGGAGTCTCGTAAGGGAGCATCACTAACGTTTCTAACGCTTAATTTGCTTAGCGAACGACACACGATCCCCTTATCCTCGTGTGATAAAACACGCCTCTACTATAAACCTATTATTAAAGTCGGTGTTAGGTCGACCAATGACGAATTGTCGCCTTACGCGCGTGCGTCGAAAGAGGCGTGGCGTCGTTAACCGTGTCATGCTAGTGGTTCGATTCCCGTTTATTATTATAATAACCTTTATTACGTAAAGGGTTGCTTATGGGGAAAAAGGGGGGATGACGGCGACGAAATTCTAGAAACTTACAAAATTCGAAAAAATGATTAATCAAACAATTAAAGTTTAGTGTTTGTTGTGTTCTTACGCGTGTTTTTCGGGTGTGAGTCAGGAATTTATATAAATTATTTAAAAAATAATTGTAATAAGTGTACTTATACAATAATAAAGGCGCTAATTACTTGCAATTATACGAATATCGTTCACTATTGCTTGATTGTTACTTGTATACAAGTATTCATTCTAACGTGTATAGTACTGTACATAGTGTACTCTGTGTAGTGTATAGGCCCATTTATCAGTGTACTGACTGTAACATGTATACATCAGTATACTCAGTGTAACATGCATACAACAGATCTGTGTATACACATTACACAGAGTACACTGTGTACATCAGTGTACTGACTATAACATGTATACATCAGTGTATACAATTACTACTTGCAATTAATTATTATTCACTGTCAATTTGCAATATTACTTACTATTTGTGGTTAGTGCTTACTTGCTACTCTACTGTCAGACTACTACTAACAATTGCAGTAACTCGCTCGAATTACTGTTTAATAGTAGAATTTTGTGGCCCTTCCCAAAATTTGAATGGCCTTTTCAATATTTATCGTTGGAAATTATAAGCCTGTATTAAGGTGTAGAAGGGCACGACACAGAATGCAATCCATCGATTGATTCTGTGGTACTGGCAATCCGAAGGATGTTCTGTGCGCGTACACATAACTTTCAGTCGAGTTTGACCTTTAACCTTTGACCTCCCGGTATTTATGATTATAGAAGAGAATAAAGGGCTGGTCGGGGGTCAGTTTTGAACTTTTAAAAGTGTTCTATTGTTTCTATCTTTTCGGAAGGTCGACAAAAGACGAGAGGGGTCCTCGTTTACTGTTATTTGCTAAATGTTCGGCAATAAAACTTCAACTTTATGACTTTCCAAGTTATACCTGTAAATAATATGAGTGATGCCTTTTCCTTTCTATAATATAACTTTGACGTCGCTGTTCAACAAAGGTTTCACTCAATATTCAACGCGTCGACCGTCTGTCGCGAAGCCACAACAGTTTTTTAACGTTCGATTTCCGAAAAAATTCTAATATTTTGGGGGTTTTCTGCGTTTTATAAATGGTAGAAGGTGCTAAAATGCCCCCTAAACACTGGCAGAGTTTTTTAATGCTTAATTTTGGCAGTAGGACCGCCGCAAACGGAGGAGTCGGTGTATATAAATTCACGATTATTATTATAGAAACCGGTAGCGATGGCTGTAAATAGGGCACGGAGGGGGCACCTGGCACTTCACCTATGTCTCCGTCGACTGTAATTTTCTATCATTATTCTGAATCATTTCCCACTGTTATGGTAATGTTATGACTTTCTCCTACACATCGCGCAATTAAGGACGATACTTTTTGTCGTTAAGTGAGCTATTCACTGGGGTGAGAAATTTCTGAAATAATTATTTTCCCCATTGTCGTGGGAGAATATAGCAAAAATCAATGTTCAAGCTACTTTATTCAGTTTTTTTTTCTTTTTAATAAAGTCAAGTTTCTTGGACTGGATTCTCCAACAAGAAACCCCCTACTGAAGAAGTAGGGGGTTTCTTGTACGGAAAACTACCAAATCCTCTCCTAACTAAAAAAAATAGAACCCCCTTTTTTATTATAATCTTATTTCGTCCACTAGTACGTATCTATTAACAGGACTTATTAAATTGGCTTTAAAGATACTGCAACTCAGTTTCACAGATTAGAAAATTGTTGTTTTATTTAAATTATTGTCGGGAAATTTAAATTTTGTATAAAAAAATTTATTTTTAATTTTTATGTAGAATATATCATATAAATACCTGCTGATGAGGGACGAACAAGTCCAAAACGCAAAATTAACATGTATGTGTCCAGGTAAATTAAATAAAACAACAATTTTCTAATCTGTGAAACTGAGTTGCAGTATCTTTACAGCCAGTTAATAAGTCCTGTTAATAGATATGTACTAGTAGACGAAATAAGATTATAATAAATTAGGACATTGAGGCATATTAATTTAACCCTTTTTTATTTTTCTACAATTTTCTAGACTAAATATTTGATTATTAGTAACTAGTAAGTAGGTGTTAAGCAGTGTTTGGTTACTTCTTAAAATGGAAGCGAATTGAGTAACTCTACAAGTTATAAAAGTATAGTAACTCGAGAGTAAACCCCGAAATTCGAGTTTAAATCGGGAAGGAACACCAGAAACAGAGGTGATATTATGAAGATCTAAATTTAGATTAATATAGAGATTTAAGACCTGTGGAGGGTGATTGTTTTCTTGTCATGTTAGTGTTAACCACTTTGATATCTTTCCATGATCCTTAAATCATAGAGAGATCGTTTAAGTGAAGATTTTACCTTCCTCCCCAGTTCTTCTTTATTGTTCCTTGATATTTTATTTAATCTCTTTGTGTTTTCAAGTATTTATCCACTCTCTCCAACCTCTTCTTAGTTTTGCCCCTCTCACGATTATCATTCACAATGCCAGAAACAAGCAATGGTTCCAACTAATTTTTGCATCAAAATCTAAATTTTGTTTATATAAAAATAAAATTTGACATTTTGATTGCTTTATAACTACGGCCTATTTGATGGTGCCTTTGGTATGCTAAATTCAAAAATTGGAGGTTTAATTGTATAATAAGCCATTATGGTCAATTTAGAGTATCTTAATTAATTTAGGGCATCTTCTGTATGAATGTCTACACAAAGGTATGTTTAATAAATCTTCTCTGTGATAACAGTCCTCTTGGGAAGCGATTTTAAACATTTTTAATTTAGAAACGAAGACAATTGGGCTGTTTTCTTGCGGTGAAACCTTTTTGGAGGCGTCTAGACTGGACAGATAAAGGTGCCGACAGCATCTTCCATTGTTATACTGTATTACTTCTAAGTGTCCTTCCGAAACGCCATTTGCTGCCGGTGCCATAAAAATGCCTGCCTAAATTATCTACGGAGGTAACCTAAATGGTAAAGGACACTCGAAACCGGGCAACAAACAGGCCTTGTAGCTTTGCTTTCAGGATTATGATGAATTAAATGCTACCTTCCTCTCAGTCTTCTCCATTATTTTAAGTTAAATCCATTGAAGGTCTACTAAAATATAGCTTTTTAGCCTCTTTAAATTAACTAATTGACTGTTTAAGGAGGGTGTGAAACGTCATTAATTCGTTACTAAGCATACTTTAATCGTTAGAAACGAGGTACGGCTCCTCAGTTAAACGCATTTTAATGCTTTAAATTTTGGTAGGAAACTCGTCCTACATTATTATACTCATTAATAACTAGCATATTAAAATGTAAACAACTGATCAATCAAGGAAACTAACAGGAAAATGTCAAAAAGATTTCACAATTCTGTAATTTATAAAGGATAAGACAAAGCGTTACGATAAAGAAGCTAGAATAACGAATTCTAGTCGGAGAGGACCCTTTTTTGACAATATCATTCAGTAGCATATAGGCTACAGACAGACACCCAGCAGTTCACTACCCTACCGAGAAGCAAATGTAACCGTAGGGGGTACCCGACTGCTCTTCCTTTACCTTTTCACGCCTATAATTTATTAACTCTGTCCAGGAACGTTTTGATAAATGGCGAGTGTGCCACAATACCCCCTCACACACTACCAGGAAACTGTATTAGATCGGTGAATGGGGGTTAACTCCGGCTCGAACCTCCAACGGAATGCCCATGTAAACGATTTTAATCGATCCTCGATAGTTAGAGAGGGAGGAAGTAGGTTACGGGAGGTCGATAAGGCATCGAAACCACCCACGCCATTAATAAAGGAGGGAAATTTTAGTGGGAGGAAGTAGGATTCTTATAAAATATAGCCGAAAATAAGGTCGCTTGCCGATCTTCCTGTAATTAAAAATAAAAAAAGACGAGTTAATTTATGTCCCTTTGTAATTAATACGCTACACGCGCCCGTTCGGGGTGGGTGTAATCCAAACAAACATGGCCGCAGGGTGACGATGTAGGCCATTGTCGTTAGGGTTCCTTTGGTTCCTGCACAGAAATGGCTTCAAAATACGATGCGTACTCTTCCATTCTCACCGGTTTATCGGTCGTAGTATCGATGAAGTGACCGTAATTATTGTTGACACAGGTATTGTGAGGGCAGATTAAAGAGATACCCTAACGCGATAAGGACCATACGGAAGTATCGGTAAGGTCTCCCGTATTTTTACCTTATCTCTTATCGTTGTATTATGGGCTTTAAGTCGCGCATTTAGACTTGTTTTGTAGCTCCCGGTTAAGATAAAAAAAAGGTACCGTTGGCCCTTCGAAGGGATTTTGTTAACGTATCCTGTCTGAAAGGAGCGATAGAAATGTTTTTTGTTACAATTGATGTAAAGTAATGTTTGAGAAAAATGCAGCTGTTAGTTTTCCACCCCTCTTCGGATATTTTATAAACTTAATGTTAGCAACTCTCCTCAAACTAGGCTTCAAATATCAGGCTATTAAAATACTACAGTACTAGAATACTGTATGGATTTAAGTGTTATAAAGAACACAACGTAGAAGACGAGAATATAACACCCGATTTACTGCCCTCTTTCTCTATACTACAATTATAGAATTTGCTTACAAAAACATACAGTAAATTACAGGGGATTTTCTTGTTTTCTACCTCATATACTCATGAACAATTTCTGTTATATAAAACAAATGTAATCCTTACAATAGTTAACGGACTTTTGTACCACTCTAATTCAGACAATTATAAATATGCTTTAATATTAATTTAAAAATGACTAAAATGTAATAAATAAAGTCGCAATTATGTAGAATTAAAACAATTTAATAAAATGAAAGCATTTTCATTCGATTTTCTGACGTTTTGTTGAAAAAACTTCATTGATTTACGTTAAAGATTAAATTTAATCGCTTACAAATTTATATAAAAAATAATGCTAATTACGTTTTTAATTTTAATCAGTTACACAGGAATTGATGGCAATTAAATACTTTTAATTAAAATTATTTGAAACTGAACATTTTTAACTGTTTATTACAATTAAGAAACCGATTAAATATTTGATAAGAATAAAATTTTGAATATTGCATTTAAAAATTAAATTTAAGATCATTTGTAATTATTATTAAATAAAAATTAAATATTATTAAATTTTTCACGTGCTAAATTGATATAAAACACTTAGAAAATTTAAAGTTCAATAACTTTGGTGTACAAATGATAGAAACATATTTTAACAGGCATATAAAAGCCTAATTTTTAAGCTTTCATGTGCTGTTCGCTGTGTACTATCATCATGTGTACTGTATAGTACATGTGTGTTAAAGTTTAAATTTGTGCAGTGACTTTATATTTACCATATATATATATATATTTTGTGAAATGTTACATACTTAATTCATAAAACAAGACCTCTAAAAATACACTCACCAAGCATTCGTGTATGGTCACTACCGCCCTCTGTTGAAATAAATTACAATTAAATTTTAATTTTAATAGAAGCCGGAAATTGGAAACAAGCATAATCAAAACTCGATATGGCACCTTTTTGGAGCGTTAATACATTTTCCTAGAGAATTTTCTCATAAATATTAAATACAGAACACTCCCGTGTCTGCGAATAACAGAATTTAAGATATTGTAGGCCTATTATAATTACAGTAGACCCCTAAAAAACGGGTTCATATAATGCGGATTGGTATATCGCGGCGAAAAAATTGCGACCGTATTCGTATAAAGACGCTAAAAGAAACTCGTAAAATGCGGTAAAACGTCATCGCCGACTCGTGTCGCGACAGAATTGGTCGAATCTAGACCAACTAGTAGCCCGGGACGCCCCCTAGTGGGCGTTCATTACAAATTTCCATGAGGCACGGTTCCTTTGACTTTTTTTTCAATAACTTTGGTGTACAAATGATAGAAACATATTTTAACAGGCATATAAAAGCCTAATTTTTAAGCTTTCATGTGCTGTTCGCTGTGTACTATCATCATGTGTACTGTATAGTACATGTGTGTTAAAGTTTAAATTTGTGCAGTGACTTTATATTTACCATATATATATATATATAATATACCAAATCCTCTCCT